AAAAGGAAAAATAGGAAAAAAAAAAGCCATAGGAAAAGGATGCTACTGACTCTAGCTCCTGCAGCACACGAGAAGTGAACTTTATTGATCAAAACTGAAGAAGAAATGAAAGAGAAATTTCAAACCATTCAATCTCTTAAATTCAGTGGCTCTTATCTCATCAACGGTCTTGGGTGCATTAGGATAACCATAATCTTCACCAAACTCTTGCAAGAATCGTTCTTTCTCCAGATCAGCTGCCATTTTTACGACCCCGAACGATCAAAAAGAAAGATTGAGGAATTCAGGAAGACGAAATAATAAAACCACGAGAAAAAAGAGAAGATTCTTCAATTCAGCGGTAGCATAAACTGATGGACATTTGTAGAACATATAATTTTGTCAGCTGAGGCACGGAAACAAAAATATATTTGACAAAAATATATTTGTATGCTATTTATTTAATTTGTATACTATTTATTTAATGTATGATATTTTTTTAGTAAAACTATTCAGATCAGAATAACTAGTGTGTACCCCGTGCGATGCACGTGAACAATATTAAATTAACAATATTTGAATAGACCTCGAATTTGAGTCACTCAATGGCGGAAGTGGAAACTACTATTGATCCTATTTAAAAAGAGGAAGAAAAAAAATAATTATAAATTAAAGAGGAGGATAAACAATACTTAATAATTATAAATTAAAGATTCGGGGTCAAACAATGTAAAATTATTTTGTATAAGAGAATATAAAAAAATTTGATTACACACCATTTCAAAATTATTATTAAACTTTTTTGTATGGTTGGCGTATAATATTTGTAAAAATATTAGTAATTAGACCGATGGAAATTAGCTTCTTAAAGTAGAGAATGGATTTCTAGTAGTAATTATGAATTGATTTCTATTTTATTTTATTTTTTCTTTTTAAAGATAATGGATTTCTAGTAGTAATTATGAATTGGTTCTATTTTATTTTATTTTTTCAAATTTGTATAGATAAGGGATGAAATTTTTTAAACACGTGAGGCCTATGCAATGGGATTTTGTAACATAAGAGATAAGCTCGTGTAGATTTATACTAAAAATAAGAAAAAAAATAAATAAATATTTATTGTCAAAATTGTTTGAATAAACTAAAAAACAGGAAAAAAGAGAAACAAATCTTTACACAATTAATGAGCATATTTTTTTGCCTATTCAAATTGGTCCAATAATTACTATATGTAGGATATATTTAATGATTTTGGCGGGAAAAAATTTCTAAATTTGTAAAAAGGTTATTCTTTTTATATAATGATAGATTTTAATAATAATTTGATTTTTAAGAAATGTTGGCAAAACATCTTAAAATGTTTAATTATCAGAATAATTTTAACTGGCTTGAGTGGTATAACCAAAAATTTTAAAATTTTATAAATGATAATAATAATAATTTTTAAAATAATTAATAGGTTAGGATCTCTCAAATTTATGAAAACTATATTATCCATTTTATTTTATACAATGAATATTGTGATGACGTTGAACACTTTTATAATGTTCATTTTTAGTAATGTCAAAATTTTTAAATTGTGATACTATTATCTAACTTATAGTTTTAATGTTATATACATACATATAACTTACGATAATTTAAACAGCTGAGACAGAATGAAATACTAGTTAATAATTAATTAGAAAAAATAATAATAAATCAAATAGAATGCGTCCAAAAGTCTTTCTACATGTTAAAGAAAAAACAAAAAAACAAACTTGAAAGGCACAAATTAGTTGCTAACAGAAGTGATATAAATTAATTGCTAATAGAAGTGATATAAATGTGAGTACCTATTATAGCAAATAGTGGTTGGATGTTTGGTATTGAGTTAATAAATATTAACGTTGTTATAGCGTGAAAGCATTAGATGATTTGTGAAAGTGGAATCAACAAATAAAGTGTACTGTTATTAAAAGGATGAAGTGACATTAAGTCCAGAATAACAAAAAGTTTGTCAAAACTATTACAGTCACCAATCCAGAATTTCATTTACATTACAGAAGGACCAAAAAACATTTATCGAATACAAGTGTTCACATGACCCTGCTTAAAAGGACCNAGAACTACAGATATTGCTAGCAAGAACACTTCCTAGTGCATGTTGCGGTTTAGCAACCCTTGAAATGATATGTAGAGATCTTTATTTTCCATTCCGAAAATCTCTTCGGCTTTTCTCAACGTCTCCTGAAGGTATGAAAGCTAAAGAGTAAGCACACCTAATAATAAATAAATCAAGACTCTATTTAGCATCGAATATTGTAGGGATTCGTCGATCTCACCTCGCGAGATTGCCTTTGTGCATTTAGTTCCTTAATATTCGCAAGGAAAGAGCTGAATTGCTCGAGTGATAGCCGACTCCTGTATTTCACATTAACAAAACAAAAATCAGGAACATTTACAGCAACACTAACGTCTAACATAATGACAAGTTATCGAACTAACCTGACTTGACGGAAAAATTCCTTTCCATCAATTCTAGGAGTGCGACCTGAAACAAAATTTTATCGGCCGCAACAATTAGAAAATAAAAAATTAATGGCTTTTGTAAGGAATCACAGTGGATGAACTTTGACATCTAATTCATTACAAAGAAATTGCTAGTATATCAATCTAGGAACCAAATCAAATGAAAATCTTTCTTAACAACGAAAAATTTGCCATTCGGTGGTTCACTCTAATTTAAGGAGAGGATAAAATACTATCTCTTATAATTACAAATGCCTCCTCAACATTTACTTCAATTACAAATTACTATCTCAATAATATCTCTAAATGACTGTCCAAGATGACTTTCTTTTCATGTCAGCAAAAAAAAAAAGGATGACTATTTCTTTTGGTAATTAAACTAAGCCTCAGGGGCAATTTTGGCAAACCTGGCGGCAAGCGCCCCCGAGGAGGTGAGTTGGCAGCAGATGACTGCTGACTGGACGGATAGCATGATGACAAAGAGGCTTTCCCCTCGTAAATCTTTGTAGGGGTAGTGGCTCCCGAGGCCTTCTTTGGGGAGCTAGCAGTTTTGTACCTTCTTGGTGACACGCTAGTCGAAGCTACTTTTGGGGTCCCGTTAGGTGAGAGACGAGGGGTTATGTATGGCGTGATCGAAAATTTATGTCCGGCTTGCTTCGGGACTTTGGGCCAAAAGAAAAAAACTATTCAATACAACAATCTAATCATATGACAACCTGTTTTTAGCTTTCAAGGTAAAGTACCTTCATCGTTTATGTTTGTGCCATTGGTGGACCCACTGTACGAGTGATGTTTTCTGTAGCGATTTGAGTCATCTAAATCGTAATTAAAAGTAAGGTTTTACAAGCATGGTTTAATAAAAATGTAATTGCGAGGAGTTTTGAGTGTGTCGGAATTTTTGGATTACCAGTAGTAGAATAGGCTTTGAGCACTGTTTGGTCGTAAGTACCGATGTCTACCGTTTCTGTCTGCTGGGCCAATAAAATCCGAAATGTTTAGTCTTGGACAAGACGTCCAAAGGGAGCAAAATTTGACAACAATCTTGATTTTGAGGCAAAGAGAAACAAATTTATAACAAGATGAAGATAAGTTGGCGCGTAAGGTGTACCGATGAATTTTCTTCATTCAATGATTGCATCAATTGCCTCTTAAATGTCTCAAGCTGTCAAAAGCGAAAACATTAGATCTTACCTCAAATAGGATAAAAACAGAAAGTTTCAGTTGCTCAAATCATTCCAAAATAATGAAGGACAAGCATTCCATATCAAGTTACCTATTACATTATTGTCATAACTGCAGGTGTAGTAAAGGTTGGATTGGAACAAGGAAAACATATGCAAATATGAGAGCATCTCTTTAAAGTTTCAATTTCAAGAAAACCACAACTACAAAATCATCAACTTGGCATGCCACTAAACAAAAGAAAGCAGAGTTCCATCAATTTCAACCAGCAAAGTAGACATGAACCCACATAGATAGTAAAATACTACTAATTGTTTTTAGTGCGACTTCTAGTTTTGCACAGTTTGTTTAAGGGCAGAAATCTCATCATCCCAAGGTAATCACAGATCAAGACTAATGATTAAATGTACCTTAAGTGTCCCATAAGCGCATAATATCCTTTTTCAACGACGTAAATTAATCAGGATATGTATACACACTTCTTGCTTTCAAACATGTTCCCAAATTTATGACCAAACAAACATCCAATTTGAAATTTTAACTTGGACTTTTTAAGACTTTTAAAAGTCCAAGGATTTCAAAAATTTCAAAAAGTCTTAATACATCACGAGATATTTAGTAACTTATTTGACATGGGATTTGCTAGAACTTTCTTAAGATTCGCTGACAAAATCCAAATTCTACCTCCAAACCTTAAGACTTCCAAGAATTCCAGTTAAACCTTTAGGTAGTGTTTGGTTCGAGGGATTTGGAGGGGAGGGGAGGGGAGGGGATGAAAAATTTTAGTTTTCTCTTGTTTGGTTGAAAAATTAGGAGGGGAGGGAGAGGAAAATTTTAAGTAAATTTCCCTCCCCTCCCTCACTTTACCTCCCCTCCAAAATTGGAGGGATTTGGAAGGAAAATGTGTTAAGATGGTGTGAAAATACCATTTAGTCCCTATTTTCAATTGTTTTTTATTTTTTATCTTATTTCATTAAGGGTAAGTTTGTCATTTTAATTTTATTTTCCCTTCCTTTAATTTTTGAACCAAACAAGGTTTACTATTTTCTCTCCCTTCCCCTCCTGAATAATCCCTCTAAACGAATACACGCTCCTAAAACAAACAAGAGTAGATTTCTCAGCATATATGCTTCTCCCCATAATAATTTAAGTAGACTTCTCGGCATTTATGCTTCACCCCATAATAATTTAAAGTGGGAATACAAGAGATAGGTAAACCTTGGCCAAATCACGACTGAGCTTCTTTGCTGTGGAAGCCAAAGAATCCCTCTCCTTCAGTAGCTCCATCTGTAATTCAATTTTGAAGAACCTTAAATCCACTTAAAGAAACACAAAAAACAAGGCTTTTATTTAAAAATAAAAAATAATTCATGGGATTGATAAATTACATTTTCTTCGCGAGTGAGTTTCAATCGCATTTCCGCGTCTTGGAACGCACCCTCGAGCTGGGAGACCTTGTCCTCCAGCTCCTCAACGAGGCGGTCCTTCTCGCTGAGCTTCTGGCGGAGGCTCCTGGTCTCCGTCTCGAGCTTCGACACGCGCGACGCGATGGCCATTGACGTTAGCTTGCGGGCCAGATCCAGTTGTTCGTACGGGTCCGTGGGTATGACCGCCAGAACATCGTCGGGTAGGTCGAAGTCCGGCCCCACCGAATTTCCGTCGCCGCCGCCGTGCGCCATCTGCCGCCGGGTGCGGAGCTTGATTTAGGCAGATTGGGCTGCGGTTAGATAAAAGGAGGAAATTGGGGAGACGTCGTTTGACGTCGTCGGAGGATTGTGTGTGTAGACGAACGATAATTAAGAATATTTTTTTGAAATTTGTTTTGCTTTTTGTTATTATTTGTTTGTGCGAATGTAAAAAAGTGTATTCGTGAGGCATTACGTGGAATGGGGCGGCTGTCCATCTTTCAAAATTTTGGAGTTTCCCTCTCAATGAATCTTTTTCCCACACAATTATTCTAAATAATTTCTTTGTTCTTTTCTTGTATACTTTGAGTGAGATACAAAAATTGATCATTAATTATCCTTCCTATTTAAATTTTTAAGCTGAAATATATTCAATCAATGTTTTAAATAATAATTTTTTGTTCGAAAATCCAACAGAATTCCAGGTAAAGAAAACCTAAATAGTTACGAGGTGTATTCGTTTGAGATTTCTAAATATTTTTTAAAATTTCAAAAATCTTGATGTATTTAATATAGATTGTTTAAAAATTTGAAAAGTCTTAAGGTATTTGTTCGTGATTATAATTTTTTTTTTACAAAATCTTGAGTTATTTAATGTTGGAATATCACTTGTGAATTGTCTCACATTGATTTGATAAGGTAAATGAACCTAGTTTATAAATTTAGTAGGCTCACTCTATTATGACGTGCTTCACTGTGTGAGGCCGCACCTGTGATGCCCCGATTATCAAAATTTGACATAGTATCAGAGCGGGCCTAATTGGGGATTTGCAATGATTTTTTAAAAAAAATGTACCCGATCTTGTTGTAAGCTCGGGTTTATGATGATGATTAAATGTACTCGGCTTGGTTGTAGGCTTGGGTTGATGAATGACTCACAAGCAAGGGGGCGTGTTGAAAAATATCACTTGTGAGTTGTCTCGCATTGATTTGATAGATTAAATGAGCATAGTTTATAAGTTTAGTGAGTTACTCCTCCCATCACCAAATGGTTTTTTGATGGAATCTCACTAATGTGCAACTAGAATCAGCCTCATTTGATGCGCTTCACTGTGTGGGACCGCACCTCTGTTGCCCTGATTATCAAAATTTGACATTTAACTTATTTGAAATTATGATTTGTTAAGACTGTTTAAAATTTGTTGGAATTTTATAAGAAAAACCCAAATTGCACTTGATGCCTCCTTAAATCTGAAGAAAAAAAAAATTAAAAAATCTCAAATCTCAAAAAGTCTCAAAATGTCATTCAAAATTCCAAACAAATACATTTTGATAAGAAGTTCCTTGTGTTGAATACGATTTTATTAATATGTGTTTGGTATATTTTATTTTATTTCTATTTTTTTAAAATATAGTAAAATGTGTAAAAAAATATTTGTGTATGGTATGTTTTGATTTGATTTTGTTGATTCCTATTATGAACATGTATTTTACTTGAAAAATAATCTTGAAGATCATAACAAAAAAAAAGGAGAGAAATCACGTGAATATAACTGAACAAACAGAGATTTTCTATATGAATTTATCACGCACATACTAAGATTGAAATTCATCAGAAAATCATTCGGGCTCGATAATCATCTTTTACTTATCCAATTTTTTTTTTTTCTCTAGATTCTTTTGTTTTGTTTCCTGTAAATCAACATGTAGAACTAGGCAATAGTTAGCGCTGAAG